AAGGCTGCGTTGGCTGGGTCATGTAGCCCGCATGCCCAGCCACCGCATGCTGAAACAGCTTTTGTTCGGCCGGATCGAGGGGGTTAAACGGGCGCGGCATGGACTTGAGCAGAGATGGAGTGATGTGGTACAGGAGGACGTGGAGCTGAGTGGACTTGCCGATGACTGGTACCAGCGGTGTCAAGATCGGCCTCTGTCGAGGAGGCTCGTGAAGGGTGCTACTGGGCAGTTGGAGGCAGTCGCCCTCCAACAACAACGGAGGGCGGAGGAGCGACGCTCACAACAACGAGCGGAGCGCCGGGTGGCTAAAGCACAGCAGGTTGGCACAGTAGGGGGCACAGGTGGTGCATCAGCCAGTCATCTCAGTCAGTCGACCCGTGGCACCTGGGTCTGCCCCGTGACCTCCTGCCAGCGGGCGTTCGACACTTCACGTGGCTTCAAGGTGCACATGGCCTGGCACAAGCGTCGTGGTGACGTCACCGCCACTTAGTGGCGAATGGCGGTTGTTGTTGTGTGTGAGAGTGTGTGAGAGTGTCTGTGTCAGAGTGTTTGAGTGTGAGTGTGTGTGAGTGTGTCTGTGTGAGAGCGTATGAGAGTGTGTATGTGAGAATGTGTGTGAGTGTTTGAGAGTGTGTGTGAGTGTCTGAGAGTGTGTGAGTGTGTGAGAGTGTGTGTGAGTGTGTGAGAGTGTGTGTGTCTGTGTGCGTGTGAGTGTGTGTGAGAGTGAGTGTGTTAGAGTGTGTGTGAGTGTGTCTGTGTGAGAGTGTAAGAGTGTGTGTGTATTTGAGAGTGTCTGTGTGAGTGTGCGTGAGTGTGTATGTGAGAGTATGTGAGTGTGTGTCTACGTGTGTGTGTGTGGAGCGATAGTGTAGCGGTTAGCGCGCTGCGCTATGAACCTGGCGACCCAGGTTCGATTCCCGCTCACGGCCAACACCAGTGACGATTTTCTGAACCGGTCCCGGGCTTCCCCTAGGTCTACTCAGCCTCAAACGAGTACCTGGTGCGGTGTGTAAACATTGCCACTAGGGAGACAAAGGCGGTCGGGCGTGGTGCTGGGCACCCACCCCCTCGTGTACCGTTCCGGCCTTCATAGGTGCTCGCTAACAGCACTTGCCCCTACAGTCTGTTAAGGCTATATGGGGGATCTTTGTCTTTTATCTTTGTGTGTGTAGGGAGCGGTGGTGTTGTGGTTAGTGCTACGCTGCACTACGAACCCCGGCAACGAGAGTTCGATTCCCGATCACGGCCAACACCGGCGACGATTATCTAAAGCGGTCCCGGGCCTCCCCTAGGTCGACTCAAATGAGTACCTGGTGCGGTGTGTAAACATCGCCACTAGGGAGACAAAGGCGGCCGGGCATGGTGTTGGCCACCCACCCCATCGTGTGCCGTGCCGGCCTTCATAGGTGCTCGCTAACAGCACTTGCCCCTACAGTCTGTTACAGGCTACACGGGGGATCTTTGTTCAGCCAGCCCACGACCCCCCCCCCCTCTCCTCGTCCCCCCCCCCCCTCTCTACCCACACCCCCCTCGCCCCGCCCCCCTCTCCTCGCCCCCCCCCCTCTCTCTACCCACACCCCTCCTTCCTCTCCCCCTCCCCCCACCGCCCCCTCCCTTCGGCAGCCTCTTGAGGAGGCGCGATCCCTCTGCCTCACCTGGCACAGAGAGAGAGAGGGGGGGGGGAGGAGGGGAGGGGGCCGTGGGGTGTTACTCACCCGGCACTCGCTAACCTGTGAACGTCCATTGAACGTTCATTCATTTGCGGGGTTTGTGATTGGATTGCAAAGCCGGGTGGTTTGTTAAAAGGTTACAAAAAAAAAAGACTTGGAGTTTATGGGGGAGAGTTCCTGTAAGTGGACGTCAGTGGGCTGTGTGCCAGCCACTCTCTGGTCTCAGCCACTGCGGTGTCCCCTGTCCTCTGTGCGTGGTGGAGACACGAAGACAACGCTCCCCCGTGTAGCCTGCACAGTGGCTGTCGTGGTGGTGGTGGAGGTGGTGGTGGTGGTGGAAAGGGGATAAGCAGCGAGGAGCCAAGCGGAATAGTCTCACGCTTAGATTTTGATTTAAAACGTGACTTTACCGAAAGAACTAAGAATATATATAGTCTCACGCTTGTTTGGGTTTCGATGTAAAAAAAAATATAATCCAACAACTCAGAGCGGGGTAGATCTGCGAGCGAGGCTGGTGAGAGTAGTTGAGCGTGGGCGAGGGTGGTGAGGGTGGCGAGGGTGGTGAGGGTGGTGAGGGTGGCGAGGGTGGTGAGGGTGGGTGAAGATGCACGTGCCGAGTCGGCGTGCCGGTGGCCGGGTGAGACGCGTCTCTCTGCAGGGCTGCGCGCCACACAGCACCCCAAACAGCTTCGTGCTGAGCACGCACGGTGAGTCCGCCTGGTCTCGGAGGAGAGGCCCGCATCCAGCAGTGGATATAGACGATGGCTCGTGGTAATGATACTTGTGGGGTTATCGTTTAAAAAAAAAAAACACGCGCCTTTCGAACGTCTTTTGCCTTTGTTTATTTCTTGCGTGAACGCTTTAACTTAAGACTCTTAGCCCGTGTATTTGGAGTTTGCGGTGTCTCTCTCCCCGTGGTCGCGTCGGCTTTCATCCGGGTCCTCCGGGTTTTTCCCCTCCGCAATGTTTAGAATCGCGTTTAGAGTGTCTGGCCGCTGTACATTTCCACGTGATGGATAAGCCACTTTTGTTGAGCTATCATTTGTGGCAGACTAGGTCGGTTCTGTAGTTCAGTTGAGCACTTACCTGGGAAAAAAAAACCCCTAAGTTTTTCAGTAACTTAATTAACCGATATTTAATACTATTTAAAGCTTTCGTGCTTATTTCGGTAAAGTCACGTAGAAGGGAAATAATAAAATAATACAAATAAAACATTATACAATTCTCACGATGTTTCGGCTGCTTGCGTTGTGGCCGAAACGTCGTGAGAATTTTATCATAGTTAATTTTTATTATTTTATTATTTCCCTTCTACGCGACTTTACCGAACGAATCAATAATATTTAATACTAGTTCGTAACGCCTGTCGTCGCCAGGCAAAAGTTTTCAATAAATAGTAATCATCATTAACCTGATTAGATTTTTTTTTTTTTCAAATTGTTTTCTACGTTCAGACACTAACAAACAAAAAATTGTGTTTGAATATTTACGTGTTTTAAAAAAAAAAAACAAATTCAGGGCCCCTTTATAACGTCATGCTTACAGGCCCCCCACTAACCTCATCCGGCACCGGCCGTGGGTTGACCGATTAAGGCGACAGGGAGGTGTGCATCGGCGGTGCTACCGCCCTCTGCGAGCAGTGAAGGGCCTTCATCCAGCAGTGGATTGACAATTGGAGCTGTAAATTATTGTCGTCGTCGTTGTTGTTGTGTAGTTAATGGTTGTCACGCTGCTGCTGTCTGGTAGGAAATTCCCCGTGTGTTTTATTCGTGGGATTGTGATGAGTGCTTTTGTGCTTCCGATGGTCTGGCCCTAGACTCAGCGAGTCGTTGTCGGTGAATGAGTAAACCCACAATTTGTACACGGCAGCAGTCATTTGTGAATTGGGAAAGTCTGCCCCTGTTAAGCCGGTCGTCTTTTAAGATTACTCCAATGTAGCAATGACGGTGACTAATCTGCGACCCTTTGTGAAAGCGCTGGTCTGTGGGTGTAAGGGGCCTGCCTCAAATGCTGCGTTGGCTGTGGGTTTTTATTTGGCCATACATCACCACGCCGGTCAATGCGGGATTAATGAAGGGTAACAAAACCCCCACAAACCACCGCACCGAATGAGGTCTTCCTCGCCGTCTGTTCGGTCTGAACATCGCAACCGATTCCATGGCCGAGGGTAATTATTTAGGATTATTGCAATTGAGGCCGTGCAATCCAATCTATGTACTGTACAGTAAACTCATAGCGATACCATAGGGATACATAGGCACACAGATACCCATAGCAACACATAGAGACACATAGAGGCATAGATGCATACTGAACATCTATTAACCTACTGGACACAGTTTAACACGTAGGCTTTCACGACCAATATCATCCTTAATAGATGTTTTTTTGAGTTAGATCGCGTAAATATATAAATGTTTCGTTAAAACCCGCCACCACCCGCCACAGCTAACTAGTAAGGGTTGTCACGTAAACAGAACTGGGCCAATTCATCACTAGCACAGCAGTAAAGCACACCGGTGTGCTGGAGAGCCAAGCCACAACATTTACAATCTGAGTACTTCATCGCCTGAGGAAGCAGGTTGTAATTACTGGCGAAGCGTCGTACTCAGATTGTAAATGTTGTGGCTTGGCTCTCCAACACACCGGTGTGCTGTACTAATACACTATACACTACACTATATACTGCACTATACACTACACTATACACTACACTATATACTGCACTATACACTACACTATATACTACACTATACACTACACTATACACTACACTATATACTACACTATACACTACACTATACACTACACTATATACTACACTATACACTACACTATATACTACACTATATACTACACGATACACTACACTATACACTACACTATACACTACACTATATACTACACTATACACTACACTATATACTACACTATACACTACACTATACACTACACTATATACTACACTATACACTACACTATATACTACACTATATACTACACGATACACTACACTACACTATATACTACACTATACACTACACTATACACTATACTATATACTACACTATACACTACACTATACACTACACTATACACTACACCATACACTGCACAAAACACTACACTATATACTACACTATATACTGCACTATACACTACACTATACACTACACTATATACTACACTATACATTACATTACACACTACACTATACGCTATACTATTACAGTATACACTAGTGCTGTGCTAGTGACGGATTGGCCACGTTCTGTTTAGGTGACAACCCTTACTAGTTGGCTATGTCGGGTGGTGGCGGGTTTAACGACACAACATTTATTTATTTACGCGACCTAACCCCCCAAAAAAACCACTACAGGACACAGTGCAAACTAGCTTAATAGCTCATGGGATTCCTCCAGTGTAAATACACATTCCGCTCCTGGTTCATAGCTACATATACGTAGAGACACAGCGATGCATGGAGACCTATCGCCCTCACAGAGACTCACAGAGACATTAAAGACGCAGCCACAGCCGTGCCACTGTGGCCATGCAACCCACAGCTACGGGCCGCACGACGAACCCGCTGTGGTAGTCTGGGCTCCTTCAACGCAGGAGGAGGAAGAGGAACAGCGACACGACACGAACTCTCTCTGTTCGCTGAAGCTCTCTCTGATCGTGGCCACCAGCAGCAGCATCAGCACACCGCCACATGGGCATCGAGCTACTGAGCACATTGCTGCGCCTGCTGCTGTCGCGAGCAATTTTTCGAATTGCGCAGAATCCTTCGTGATGAGCAACTATCAAAGTCTAGTTCACAGCGTTGCGAAACAGGAGGCCTTCATCCAGCAGTGGATCGACAAAGGGACTGGACATCATTGCGTTGTTTTTGTCGGTTAATCATTAACGCGCCGCTGCTGCTGTTGTTGTTGTCTAGTAGAACAGCCTCGCGTGTTTGTTTGTGGGACTGTGATTTGCGGTCCTAGACTATTTGAGTTGTGGATTTCGTGGTTGGTCAGCGGGACAAACTGCGATTAGTGAATGAGGTCGACGTTTGTTAATTGGGGAAAGCGTTATCCAGCTAAGTCCGTTGACTCTACGATTATTATTATTCTGGTGGCCGGGTGGCTGGGAAGTTACCGACGGTGTCCTGAACGATTGTTTAGCCCAGGAGGGCCTCACTGGATCATCTCACGACTGCTCATCAGGAGGGTGCTGTCAAGTCTTAACACTTAGCTGAAGCGTTCGGGGGGGGCAGGGGGGGCAGGGGGGGGCAGGGGGGGGGCGATGTTTACTGCTGTTGCATAATTTCAACGGGAGTCATCCTGCGGTGTATTTTTTTGTTTTGGACAAAAAAAAAATTTTCTTAAAATTCGCCAAATCTGCAGTCAGCGTGATTCCGGCACGCGCGGCGAACTGCGTCGCGGGAGGGGAACCTTGCCACGTCCACGGAGCGTGAAGCGGACGGCGACGCACGCCACCGCGCTCGTCAGAGGAGGAATCCGATGAGCTACGGAGTTCTCTCTCTCTCCCTCTCTTGTTTATTTTTTTATTTACACGCTTTCCATGAACTCACTCTGTCTGTTGTCGTCGTCGTTGTATCCTCAAATCTTGTAGCTCAATTTTAACCCACTTCCCAATGTGTTATCGACTGCAAACTTGATGATGATACTTTATTCTATCTTTTTTTTTAAATATTATTTTTTATATGTTATGTTTTCGTCTTGGTGGGTCTAATTGTCCACTGTCAACTCACGTTGGCTGTAAATCACCACGGGCCCCTTACGCTGTGGCAAGCTTCGGGGCCACTTCCTGGAGTCGTGGAGTAGTGTTGAGTCTATGGGTAGTTCGATTTAAAGCTTTCGTGACTGCAATGATTCATCTTCTTTGGTTCTTTCGGTAAAGTCACGTAGAATGAGAATAAAATAATAAATTGATAAAATAAAATAACACAATAATATTCTCACGACGTTTCGGCCACAACACAAGCGCCCTTCATCAGGTGAAGGGAGCGAGACTGTCTGGTAGGACAGCGCTGGAGTGAGAGAGCCACGTTCAGATCACGGCTTTTTAAGCTGTGTGAGAGGAACAAAGAGCCTTGACGAAGGAATTAGCATAAAATTAGCATTGAAAAGGCTAAATGATTAGCTTGTGACTGGTCACAGAAATAGCTATGTTAAAAGTTAAAGCATACACATCCGCAGAGGCACCCATTGTTAAAAGGAATTAGCATAGAATTTAGCATTGAAATAGCTAAATTAAGGCATTCGCTTGTAACTGCTACAGAAATAGTTACGTTGAAGTCAGAGCATACACATTCACCGAGGCACTTAGTACAAATCAAAACAGGAGAATTAGCATTTGAAATAACTAGGCGAATTTAGCATTGAAATAACTGGGTGATTTGCTAGTGACTGGTCACAGAAATGACTACACATCTGAGCTATTCACAGTACTATATAGTGAACCAATAAAAACTAAAATATAAATTACCTTCATGTTATCAATAAACTCTATATTCTCCAATCAGCTAAGCTACCAACCATAAGTCGATATATATCACAATGCTATATGGCGAAAAAATGGGTGGATTCTTACCCTCAAATTTCCGTACCACGGATAGCTACGGGCCCCGTTCAGCGGACGAGTTCGTCCATGGTCGGAACAGAGGAGGGGGAAGAGAGACAGCTGCGAAGCCCTAGTATACTCCATGTTGTAAACCATACCATTAACCGTGGTGTGAGAGTTATTAAGAGGCAATGCTGGCGAAAGAGCTGCGGTCTGAAGGTCATCGTAAAATTACAATTAATTAAGAACAGAAATGATTTAACACATCTTTCCAGTGGTTACTAAGCCTGAATCCATCTTCTCGGTTGAAATTGTCTCTGTGCTTGTATATGTGAATGCCTCATGAACGAATCTCTCATGGTAGCCAGTTGGTTTGCAAAGAACCTCCGTCTTGGAGAATGTCAATGTCATGTGAGCCCACTGAATTGTAACAGTGATCTGCCACGGCAGAGGAGTTCGTCTTTACCGTGTTTCAAGTCTGCTTATGTTCGCGGATGCGGTCCGAGATATGTCTTTTGGTTCTCCAATGTAGCTACTACCACAGAGGCACTTTAGTTTGTAAACGCCCGGGTACTGTATGTCTGGAAGAGCATCTTTTACAGATGGAACTAAATCACGGATTTTGTGTACTGTATTGAATCGGACCTGGATCTTGTGTTTATTCAGGATTTTGGAGATCTTTTTAGTGACCCCTGCAATGTAGGGTAAGGTGATGGTTTTGAGTGGCTCCACAAGAGGATCCTTCTTCATGACTGAGAGTGATGGCTTTGCGGATTGTGTAGTCGGAGTAGCCATTAGCCCTGAGAGCCTGGTGTACGTGCTTGAGTTCACTGGTAATGTGTTCCTGGTCGGAAATGCATTGGGCTCTATGGTATAGAGTCTTGATGAGGCAGTTCTTCTGGGATGGATGGTGGTGGGAATCCGGTTTCAAGTAAGCATCTGTATGGGTAGCTTTCCTGTAGACAGAGTGCCTCATTGAACCATCATGTCCTTTTAATTAAGACATCCAGAAAGGGTAGTTTGCCATCTTTTTCGACCTCCATGGTAAATCTGATGGCTGGGTGTATGGAATTGATGTGGTCGCGGAATTGGTCTAGAGCAGGCTGGCCATGTGGCCAGATGACAAAGGTGTCATCAACGTACTCTTCCATAAGGGTAGTGCTGAGTCTATGGGCAGTGCTGAGTCTATGGGCAGTGCTGATCTATGGTAGTGTTGAGTCTATGGGCAGTGCTGAGTCTATGGGCAGTGTTGAGTCTATGGGTAGTGTTGAGTCTATGGGCAGTGTTGAGTCTATGGGTAGTGTTGAGTCTATGGTGGAGTGTTGAGTCTATGGGGAGTGCTGAGTCTATGGGGGGTGCTGAGTCTATGGGCAGTGTTGAGTCTATGGGCAGTGCTGAGTCTATGGTGGAGTGTTGAGTCTATGGGTAGTGTTGAGTCTATGGGCAGTGTTGAGTCTATGGGCAGTGTTGAGTCTATGGGCAGTGTTGAGTCTATGATGCAGTGTTGAGTCTATGGGTAGTGTTGAGTCTATGGGTAGTGTTGAGTCTATGGGTAGTGTTGAGTCTATGGGGAGTGCTGAGTCTATGGGCAGTGCTGAGTCTATGGGCAGTGCTGAGTCTATGTGGCAGTGCTGAGTCTATGGTGGAGTGTTGAGTCTATGGGAGTGCTGAGTCTATGGGCAGTGCTGAGTCTATGGGGAGTGTTGAGTCTATGGTGGAGTGTTGAGTCTATGGGGAGTGCTGAGTCTATGGGCAGTGCTGAGTCTATGGGTTGCCCCAACATTCTGTTAAGGTTATACGCTGGAGAGGGGGGTGGTGTCTTTGTTTAAACTTTGGAGGGGGGGTGGCGGTGAATAAAAACCACGAACGATTTGAGCGGAGTGCAATGGGTGTGCGATGCGTTGCAGGCCAACTGAAGCTCTCCATTGACGTGAAGGAGTCGACGCTGGGCGTGGCACGGTGAGTTAAGGGCCCCTGGTCGGTGTCCACCTCCAGCGGGAGACCTTTCTGCTAGCGGCGGCTCCACCGTCACCACTGTGGTCAACAAACAACCACCACCACCACTGTGGGTCAACCACAACCACCACCACTGTGGTCAACAACAACCACCACCACTGTGATCAACCACCACCACTGTGGTCAACAACAACCACCACTGTGATCAACCACAACCACCACCACTGTCAGCAACCACCACCACTGTGATTAACCACACCCACCACTGTGGGCAACCACAACCCCCACCACCACTGTGGTCAACCACAACCACCACCACCACTGTGGGCAACCACCACCACTGTGATCAACCACAACCACCACCATCACTGTGGTCAACAACAACCACCACTGTGGTCACCACAACCACACCACCACCACTGTAGTCAACCACAACCACCACCACCACCACCACTGTGGGCAACCACCACCACTGTGGTCAACCACAACCCCCACCACCACTGTGGTCAACAACAACCACCACAGTGGTCAACCACCACCACCACTGTAGTCAACCACAACCACACCACCACTGTGGTCAACCACAACCCCCACCACCACTGTGGACAACCAACAACCCCACCACCACTGTGGTCAACCACCACCACCACTGTGGGCAACCACAACCACCACCCCTGTGGTCAACAACAACCACCACCACCACTGTGGTCAACAACAACCACCACCACCACTGTGATCAACCACCACCACTGTGGTCAACAACAACCACCACTGTGATCAACCACAACCACCACCACTGTGGGCAACAACAACCACCACCACTGTCAGCAACCACCACCACTGTGATTAACCACAACCACCACTGTGGGCAACCACAACCCCCACCACCACTGTGGTCAACCACAACCACCACCACCACTGTGGGCAACCACCACCACTGTGATCAACCACAACCACCACCATCACTGTGGTCAACAACAACCACCACTGTGGTCAACCACAACCACCACCACCACCACTGTAGTCAACCACAACCACCACCACCACCACCACTGTGGGCAACCACCACCACTGTGGTCAACCACAACCCCCACCACCACTGTGGTCAACAACAACCACCACTGTGGTCAACCACCACCACCACTGTAGTCAACCACAACCACCACCACCACTGTAGTCAACCACAACCACCACCACCACTGTGGTCAACCACAACCCCCACCACCACTGTGGTCAACCACAACCCCCACCACCACTGTGGTCAACCACCACCACCACTGTGGGCAACCACCACCACCCCCACCACTGTGGTCAACCACAACCACCACCACTGTGGTCAACAACAACCACCACTGTGATCAACCACCACCACTCTGGGCAACCACCACCACCACTCTGGGCAACCACCACCACCACTGTGATCAACCACAACCACCACTGTGGGCAACCACAACCACCCCCACCACTTTGGTCAACTACAACCAACACCACCCCCACCACTGTGGTCAACCACAACCACCACCACTCTGATCAACCACAACCACCACTGTGGTCAACCACAACCACCACCACTGTGGGCAACCACCACCACTGTGGTCAACCACAACCACCACCACCAGCGGTTAGCGCGACGCCGTGCTAGGAACCCGGCGGCCTGAGTTCGATTCCCGCTCACAGCCAACACCGGTGATGATTATCTGAACGGGTCATGGGCCTCCCCTAGATCGACTCGGCCTTAAATAAGTACCTAGTGCTGTGTAAACATCGCCACTGGGGAGACAAAGGCGGTCGGGCGTGGTGCTGGCCACCCACCCCCCTCGTGTGCCGTTCTGACCTTCACAGGTGCTCGCTAACAGCACTTGCCCCAACAGTCTGTAAAGGCTCGACGGGGGATCTTTGTCTTTGTGTGTGACTCAGTCATGGAAGCCAAGGGGCTGATGGGAAAGGAGTTCCAGACCTGCAACTCGTACGTCAAGGTACCATTATTCTTCTTATTATTATCGGCCCTTCGCAAATCAGTTGCTGGAAGGGAGCGGGGGATGAACGGGAGGTCGAAGGGACAGGACGGAAAAGGAACGGTGATACTGGAGCGGGAGAGGCTGCATCAGGAGGTGCAGGGGGAGGAAGAATAGGAGGGGGATCGGAGAGGAGGAGGGGGGAGGGGAGAGGAGGAGGGGGATGGGAGAGGAGGAGGGGGAGGCAGGGGGCGGAGGAGGGGGATGGATGAGGATGGTGGAAGTGGAGTTGGTTGGTGGGGAAGGAGGGAAAAGAGCAAGAGGAGGAGGGGCAGGAGAGGGAGGAGGGGGAGGAGTTTGTTTTTTACAGCGGGCGGTGACGGTGGGAGGGGTTCAGAATGGGGGGGGGGGGGTGAGCACATGTAAGTCACGTGGTTATGGGAGGCTCGATCCTTATAGAGAGAGAGAGAGAGATTGGGTAAACAAACGGCACCAACGCCTACGGGAACACGGGGGAGACGATGGAAGTGAGACGATATTTAAACGATTGAACCAAGTTGGGGCCATGAATCGTGACAACCAAACCGCAGGAGATGAAGGTCGGAAGTGGGGCGGCGGGGGGGGGGGGGGCGGGGGCGTTAATCCGATGGCCCCCTCGTGTTGAGCCGGTGCTCGCGATCAGACCGACGGACGGCACTGCACCTCCAGTGCACCTCCAGTGCCGTCGCCCTCCGCTCACGGCGCCGGCCCGAACGACGCGACGGCGATCTCGTAGACCCCCGCCGTGTAGTGGTAGGCTGCGCGGTGGGGCGGTCGCCGCGGCGAATGGCCAAGCCGCGGCATTTACCAGGGCGGTCCCCTGGGGCTAGAACCGTGACGCCCGCAAGAAACTCCCGCCTGGGGCCGAGTCGCCCCGTCGCGACTCTGACGGTCACTCCGCCTCTTTCCCCCCCCCCCCCCCCCCCCCACCCCTCCCTTTTAGTTGGCGCTGGTGCCAGATCTGGAGCGGAAGCAGCGCTGCAGAACGAGGACGGTGCCCGACTGCAAGGGCCCGGTCTTCCACGAGCACCTCGCCTTGTAAATCGCCGACCCCCAAACACCGACCGCCCCCTCTCCCCCACGTGCTGTGGTCACACCATTCAAAGCGACGCTATTGGCTGCGTCGATAACACGAGGCCCTCCTGGATCGACAACAGCAGGGAAGGCAACATCGGAGCCAATGCACGAGCTCGGTCACATTGGTTAGCCGCGGGCCTTTTGCTCTGCGACAAGTGTTGAATTCGTGACGGTGACGGTGATGACAACAACGGCGACAGCGACAGCGGCGTCACTGCCCGAGCTTCCTCCCTCCGTGACGTCACCGCGGCGTCGAGATGACGCCACTGTGACGTCATCGCGGAGGGAGGGGAGATGCGCGCCCACACTGTGACATCATCGCCTGGGCCTGAGCAAGCGCCGGAGGTTTCTTCCGTCCCTCTCGGCATATGGCCGGTCAGCTTGCCCGGTCACTCAGAGGGCGCCGCAAAAAACCACTTCAGCAAATCCGCCAAAAACAATGCATAGCCCTCAATGGAAGAGGATTTAATACCCGACGCTTCGGGCAATGGTCCTTCTTGATGTCTGAGACATCACCCATTTCTTAAATATTTTTTTGTTCCCCCTTTAAAGCCAAAGTGTGTATTGACGTGGGACACATTGAGCAGTATTGCTGACTGCGCTTGTGCACCCCTGGCAAACGCAGCGGCAGCATCACTACCACCAGGGGTTTTGCTTAACGGCATCGAAGCTTTACACTCGAAATCTCTATCGTGCTGGGTGACCTTGACGGGAGCCGTGGTGACCCCGCGTTGCACACACGTGACCTCGCGGAGAGGCAGGCGGACTGGAGACGAACGATGATTTATCTTCCCGCACGCAGCGTCCTGCAGGCGGAGGATGAACAGAAGAGGCTACTCATCGGCGTGTGGAGCTTCGATCGGCAAAGCCGGTGAGTCCCGGTCACAACGAGCAAGGAGGGCACGTGGAGGGGGAGTCGAGTGAGATGAGAGGGGAGAGGTAGGAGAGTGCGTGGAGGGAGTGGAGTGAGATGAGAGGGAGAGGTAGGAGAGTGAGTGGAGGGAGTGGAGTGAGATGAGAGAGACAGGCAGGGAGAGTGGTTGGAGGGAGTAGAGTGGGATGAGAGGGGAGAGGTAGGAGAGTGCGTTGGAGGGGAGTGGAGTGAGATGAGAGGGGAGAGGTAGGAGAGTGTGTGGAGGGGAGTAGAGTGGGATGAGAGGGGGAGAGGTAGGAGAGTGCGTGGAGGGGAGTGGAGTGAGATGAGAGGGAGAGACAGGAGAGTGCGTGGAGGGGAGTGGGGTGAGAGGGGAGAGGTAGGAGAGTGAGTGGAGGGGAGTAGAGTGAGATGAGAGGGGAGAGGTAGGAGAGTGCGTGGAGGGGAGTAGAGTGGGATGAGAGAGGACAGGCAGGAGAGTGCGTGGAGGGGAGTAGAGTGAGATGAGAGGGGAGAGGTAGGAGAGTGCGTGGAGGGGAGTGGAGTGAGATGAGAGGGAGAGGTAGGAGAGTGCGTGGAGGGGAGTGGAGTGAATGAGAGGGTAGGGGTAGGAGAGTGCGTGGAGGGGAGTGGAGTGAGATGAGAGGGGAGAGGTAGGAGAGTGCGTGGAGGGGAGTAGATTGAGATGAGAGGGGAGAGGTTAGGAGAGTGTGGAGGGGAGTAGATTGAGATGAGAGCTAAGAAACAGGATAGTTCGTGGAGGGGAGTAGAGTGAGCTGAGCGGGGACAGGCAGGAGAGAGCGTGGAGGGGAGTGGAGTGAATCCGGAGCATTCAGCGGTGCCCGTTTTCCGTCGCAGGCACAGCGAGCTGCTGGATGCATGAGCTTTGGCGTCCGTTCGCTGATGATGGCGGCCAAGGTACGCGCGGGCACTGGGGGCGCACCGCACGTTTCGCTCGCCTTCACGTGGGTCTGGCCACGTTGTAGCAGTTGGAGTCTTGAGGCCTCCCCCCCCCCCCCCACAACTCGCTTATTGGAGAGTGGCGAGGTCAAGCTGTGCTAGAGGATTGGCTCAGCACCACCATCATCACCACCACCTCCGAAATTATCACCAGCATCACCTTTCGATGCATGCACCTACCCACCAACCCAAACACCATCACCTCCACCACGGACCACCACCACCACCCTACCCACACACCGACCCACCTTAACACCACTACACCCACACACCGACCCACCTTAACACCACCACCTACCACCAAAACCACCCTACCCAGACACCCACCCACCAGAACACCATCACTGCCACCCACCTTCCATCACTTTGCCCCCCACGCACCCGCCCACCACTACTCAACCATCAATCCACCACAATCACCCAACCACCACCACCACCCAAAAACCATCCAACTATACAGGCACTTCAACCACCACCCCCTCACCTCAAGAGACGTCACCCACCCACCAATTTCCCCCACCCACCCACCATCACCACCGCTGTCCCCCACTGCCCCCGCCCCCCCTTGCTGTAGGACGTGAGCGGCTGGTACTACCTGCTGGCCGAAGAGCTGGGCCGCACCAAGCACCTCAAGTTTGCCACGCGGCGCTTCAGGAGCCACAGAGGTGAGGATGTCATTAAAAAAAACACACGGATGGCGGCGCTGAACGTGGACACCGGTTCACCCAGGGGTCAGAGACGCGGACCGGCACGGCGGAGAGACCCGGTTCCACTCCGGGTTTCGGTCGCTTCCTGTGGTTAAACCGGGTTCTCTGGTGAAAGTGAGTTTATGGTCTCAGGCCGGTCACTAAGGACTTGCACAGAGACCCATAGACTCACAGCAGAGGCCCCATAGACGCACACATACCCATAGACTCACACAGAGACCATAGACTCACATAGAGACCCATAGACTCACACAAAGACCCATAGACTCACACAAAGACCCATAGACTCACACACATCCATAGACTCACATAGAGACCCATAGACTCACACAGAGACCCATCAACTCAGATAGATAACCATATACTCACACAGAGACCCATAGACTCACATAGAGACCCATAGACTCACATTGAAACCCATAGACTCACACAAAGACCCATAGACTCACACATATCCATAGACTCACACAGAGACTCATATACTCACACATAGACCCATAGATTAATATAGAGAACCATAGACTCACACAGATACCCATAGACTCATACAGAGACCCATAGACTCACATAGAGACCCATAGACTCATACAGAGACCCATAGACTCACACAGAGACCCATAGACTCAGATAGAGAACCATAAACTCACACAGAGACCCATAGACTTTCACAGAGACCCATAGACTCACACAGAGACCCATAGACTCACATAGAGACCCATAGACTCACACAGATACCCATAGACTCACACAGAGACCCATAGACTCACACATAGACCCATAGATTAATATAGAGAACCATAGACTCACACAGATACCCATAGACTCATACAGAGACCCATAGACTCACACACAGACCGATAGACTCATACAGAGACCCATAGACTCACACAGAGACCCATAGACTCAGATAGAGAACCATAAACTCACACAGAGACCCATAGACTTTTACAGAGACCCATAGACTCACCTAGAGACCCATAGACTCACACAGAGACTCATAGACTCACATAGAGACCCATATACTCACATAGAGACCCATAGACTCCCATAAAGACCCATATACTCAAATAGAGACCCATAGACTCACATAGAGACCCAAAGAAGACCTACTGACCGATTTCGCTATGGATGGAAAGCGGAGATCCCGGAGAAAACTGAACATATTCTGCTTCGTTTTAGTTGATTTATCATTAATTGTGCTGCCAACGCGGTCGCAGCAGCAGCAGCGGCGGCAGCCATCTGTTTGAATGAATCCGATGATTTTTACGACTCCAGACAGGCTCGGGCAAATTTCATGGCCGGCATCAGCGAACGTCTCTTCCTGTGGCCAGCGCACGGTGAAGGTGAGCGCCTGCAGGCGCGCACCGGTTATCGCCGCAATGTTCCGACTCGCGAGTGAATTCACGGCATCTTTTTTTTTTTTTTCTTTAATGGGGCTACGTCCCCGGCGTAACGGTGTGTACGAAAACACGCGCTTGTGTGGGCGCCGCGGAATCCGCATGCGATTCCCTCCCCGACTTGTCCGTTTTGCCCAAGGTCATGGTGTCGCGCGGCGCTGACGGCTTTGGATTCACGATCCACGGCAAGGATCCCGTGCGCGTTCAAAGCGTCGACTCGGGCAAGTGGGACCTCTGTCTGCGGGGGGCTTCAGCAAGGGGGACGCACGCACGCACGCACGCACGCACGCACGCACGCACGCACGCACGCACGCACGCACGCGGACACGCGGACACACGCTCGGCGGGCCGGCGAATCCTCCCCCGCCGTTAGCAACCCCCACCCGCTCGTAACTCGGACCGACGCCCAGTCGCCCGCCACCGACCGGGGCCCCAATCGCGTTGGCCGACGGCACCGAGGCCTTAAGGGGATAGAGGGGCGACTTTTTTGCGCGCGACGGCCCTGACGCAGGGCGACGTAAATAGAGGGAGGGCGGGAGCATCACCGCCGCGTGATTGCTCGGCCGATGGAGGGGTCGGTGGGGGAGGATTGGGGTTGCGGGGGGGGGGGGGCTGTGTGGGGGGGGGGGGGGGGCTACCCCATCGTTGTCATCGTCGTCGGGTGTAAAGAGGCGGCGCGATCGAACGATGACGTCGGTGCTCGCCGCGTGCCCGCGGTGCAGGGAGCCCGGCCGAGGGCGCGGGCCTGCGGCCGCTGGACGCCATCGTGGAGCTGAACGGGCGGCCCGTGTCCACGTGGAGCTGCGAGGAGCTCGCCTTCTCCATACAGTGAGCAGCGGAGAGAGCACGCGCGTGCACACGCAAGCACACGCGAGCACACGCGTGCACACACACACGTTCACACGTTCACACGCGCACACACTCACATACGCACGCACTCATGCCCAAAGTGCCACAACGAATTTTTGAGCCGGCAGCTCCGCTCTTACACAGCCGCGCCCACTGATCAGGGAACCCCGCCCACTACCCATGTAGCCCCCGCCCACTATTCAGATAACCCCGCCCACTACTCAGATAGCCCCCGCCCACTACCCAGGTAGCCCCCGCCCACTATTCAGATAACCCCACCCACGACTCAGGTAACGCCGCCCACCAAATTGCTCCCGGTCATCGTCGTCATCGGCAGCCATGGTCAATCTTGATGGTCAGTCCACCGCTGGAGACAAGCGTCCCAAAGCCGCCCCCCCCAACGTTGCATGTCTATGTATCTCTCACGCAGTTAATTCACCTTCACTGGAGTGCGTGCCTGCCTATCAACGCACACGCGTTTCTGTCTGTGGATACTTACCCGCTGCACTGATGTTCTATGGAGAGGGGCCGTTGGAGAAACGTCGACTGTTTTATGTTTTTCCTTTTACAGCCACGCACATGCACGGCGTTATTGTACGGACGCGTTGGGTTGTTATTGTCGACTGTGCCTGTGCACCACCGCCAACGACGCAGCAGCAGCAGCAGCGCCGTTGGCGTAAGGCACTACCACTAGAGCAAGAGGCACATCTATCCATGCAACGTGCCTCTCTTGCAGTTACTGCCCGCACAGCGTGGTGCTGGGGGTGGAGCGGTGCGCTGGCTGGGGGCGGCCGGTCGCCACGGACAGTGCACTGCAGCCGTCCTCCCAGCATGCACCTGGCTGCGACAGGACCTCCGGGGTTTAAAGGTCGCCGGAGCCGAACGACGGGAAAGGAGAACGAATTTCCCGCGGGGACAAGGGAGCCGGGCAGAGGCGTCATACCAAAGGAATACTTCCCGGCTTCAGGGGGTAAATGCCGCTCGTTGTAGTCACGGTTCCGAAGACTCGAGCTTTGGGTCAGCTCGTGTACGTTAGGATCGGCGTCGTAACAGCCTCAGCCACCCCCCGCCACCCGACACGGCCGATGAGCAAACGCTGCCAATGTTCCGCCGCTTCGGCGTCACACCAGCGGGGGTGGAGAGGCGGGGGCGGGGGGGGCCGGGGGGGGGGCGGGGGGGGGGCACGTGGCTGCTGGCAAGCGATCCACGCCACTTTTGACGAAATATTTATTAATCGGGCTCGATGGCCGCTCACGGGTAACGTCGGTGGCGAGCGACGTCCGCACCGCCTGGGTTCCTTCCTCCCGCACCGTGTCTGTCGTCAACACGTGGCGGCAAGCGTGGGGGAAAGTGGCGTTCAAATAACCACCACGGCTGATGCAGCCTTTGCGGGGGCGGGGGTGGGGCGGGGGGATGTTGGGAATTCCTTAATCCAGCGGTGGATTGACAAGTGGCTGGATGCGTCTTTTGGTCTGTCGCAGTCACTCTTGCTGTGTCGTGGCCGATACGTCAATAATTTCCTTTCGTTCTTCGACAGCTGACCAGGGCCGTGGCGTCCACCACACAGCTTCAACGCAGAGGTACTACTGTTCTCGGCGTGCCTTTGCCGTGACGCGTGTCTCAGCCGGGAGAGTCTCAGGACTCCCTTCGAGGAGGTGCCCTGCCACGTTTTCGCAGCGGGAGAGCGAGGGCTGCCGCTCAATTGTGCGCGATCACAATTGAGCACTTTGTTTATCTCGCGACGGGAGGAAGACCGGAGCACTGCTGTCGGGGGCCAGCGGTGATAGCGAGTAGCACCTATGAAGGTCGGCACGGCGCACGAAACGGTGGGCGGCCGGCACCACGTCTCGTCTTCAATTGTTGGCAGCATTTGAGGCTGAGGCAGCCTAGGGGAGGCCCAGGACCGGTCGGCGCACGCACTCGCACCCCGCAGAGCGAGGGTAGGACACAGAAACTCCACGCGGAAAGGTTGCCCGAGTCGCGAATCGAACTCGGACGCGTATTTGCTGTGAGGCCCCGATTGGTACCATAGCGCCACCCTTAACACGTTAAATTCAGAGAGTCTCCAATGCAATCCAATCTCCCGCCGCGCCACTTGATTCGGCACGCTTCGGGGCTCTTCGCCGCGACCCGCGTCCCGGCACTTGCAGGGGCTGCGCCTCCGCCGTACCCACCTGAGGGCCACGCCGTGGGAACTGATCGCGAGCCCCCCACTCCCCCCGCTCCGCTGTGTTCCGAACAGCTGGCGCTGCTGAGAGGTCACGGGAGGGGGCGGCCTCGTTCCCACGCTCTCCATCCGCGTCATCGTCGGCGTCGTCGTCGGCAGGCGTCGTCGTCGTCATCGTCGTGCTGCTGCGCCTCCGGCGACGCTCGTGGTGGGGGGCCGGCCCCCCACGGCGTGCGTTGCCGACGCAAGCCGCTCGTCCCGTCAACGGAGAGAGGTTGGTTGAGTTCTGGGGGGGGGGGGGGGGCGGCGGCGGCGGCTGGGGTGGGGGGTGATTTGATTGTTGTTGTTGTTGTTGTTTGTTTTTAGTAGCAGGCGAGGATCCGTAATGGTCGCAGTTTCGTTGACACCCATTGACAGCAACCAAATAGGCAGCACGCACTGCGGGTCACAGTTCGGATCCGGCAGGCCGCCCCGGTTATTACCGCGGGCCATCGGCATTGCGGTAAATATTTTGCCGGAAGTCCAAAAATGTGACTGGAATTTTTACTCAATTGGGATTCGACGCACCACATTGGCAACATTATCCCCTACCGGCAGACTCGGGTCAACACCATTGCTGCGAAAGAGACTCCGCTCCGGCCTCTCGCGTTCTCACCCCAACTTGGAAACCCCCCCCCCCCCGGGCACAACGCCATGCCAAGTCCATTGCGTAACCTCGCTCGGACACTCGGGGGATGGATCCCGGATGCCAGGGTCATCATGGCCTCGGGTGCCGGAGACACCTTTGAAGCCGGCGTTGGCCGTGCCGAGCTTCACGCGGCCACACAGCACGCGGGTCCAGCAGCAGCAGCAGCAGCAGTTCTGGCAGCAAGTCGATCACCGTGGATCCGCCGTCTTTAGTTTGTTGACCTTGCCCCCCGGTTTAGCACGGTTGGCTTGCAATAAAGAACGGCGACAATACGAAATGAACTCAGCAATTTTATACATATAGATTTTTTAAAAGAATCTTTTTGGATGAGCACAATACTCGTGCCACAAAGCGCGGCACTTCTCTGGCACGCCGCTAATGCACCATTTCTCCCTGCGGCAAATGGAGCGCGGAGCATTTTCATTGCGCCACAGAGTGTAGCCTCCATAAGGCGAATCCTTCTCACCCACGGTCAGCGCCGCTCCCGCTCGCTCCCTCGCTCAGTCAGGTCTTTCGGTCGGTTGGTCACTCAGTCGCTCGCTCGTACGCTCGGTTGCTCGCTCGCACGTTTGGTCGCTCGTTTTGCTCTGTCGCTTGCTCACTCACTCGGTTGCTCGCTCATTTGCTAGGCCACTCCGTCACTGGATCGGTTGCTCGCTCGCGGCGTTTGGTCGCTCGTTTTGCTCTGTCGCTTGCTCACTCACTCGGTTGCTCGCTCATTTGCTAGGTCGCTCCGTCGCTGGATCGGTTGCTCGCTCGCACGTTTGGTCGCTCGGTCGCTCGGTCGCTCGCTCGCGACCGCACACTTGGACCCGCCACGTGGACAAGGGGGATGGCCGCGGTACACCAGCGTCCGGGCCGCCATCGGGGGCGGATTCCGGCGATGTTCGCTCCGAAAATACCGGCCGATGGGGTGGACCGGCACGGCGGACTGTCGGTGCGGGCCACAAATGCGAGCGATTCGTGGCACTTTGAGGCATTTGTCAAAGTGCCTTGCAAGTGCGAATATAATCATCGTGATGATTGTTGTTGCTGCTGTTATAGTGTGTTGAGTTGAGCGGAATATGCGGACGGAAGGCAAGTTTTGTAAAACATCTACAGCTCGGTGCTCACGCTGAGCGACAATCCTTGCCGGCTGCCTCCATGAGCAAAGAGCGTGCGGGATTTGCCCATTGCCCTGTGCACGTGCGGAATTATTCCGCGCGTTCGATTTCCGTTTAAAAAAAAAAAAATACGAAACTTCACGAGTCGATCGTGCTTATTCACGGGTAAACATTTTTTGTTTTTCAACATACATATATTTTTTTCGTGCATATATATGTAAACAACTCCTTTAGGCGGGCCATTGTAAACGACGGGAGAGTGGGGTCACGGCCACTCGAGGGCTCCCCAAAGCCCCGCAACCGGAACGCCGCGCCGCTCACAGGTGGCCCGGCGCGGCGAGCCGCCCCCGCCGAGTGGCAACGGAGGCATTCGCCCACGCCGGAGGGGGGTCTCCGTATTTTGGTGGCCGCTTGCACCGCCCCAGCCGCCGGCTCATCTCTGCTCACGCGCTGCGGGTGTGCGTCGGGGTCTCGGCGACGCCGCGTTTTTGTTCACGTGTGGCTGCGTGCTCACGTGTGGCTGCGTGCTCACGTGTGGCTGCGTGCTCGCGTCCGCTTGTTGTGTTCTCGTCTTCCTAGGGGTCAAGACGGATCGCCGCTATTCCGTCGGAAAGTCACGAGCCGTAAGTACTCGCTTTGCATTCCTGTTGCAGTTAGCGGTAGTAGCAGTAGTAGTCGTAGAAGTAGCAGTATTAGATAACAGCAAGTAGTAGTAGAAGCAGTAGAAGTAGCAGTATTAGTAATAGCAGTAGAAGCAGTAGTAGTCGTAGAAAGGTAGCAGTATTGGTAACAGCAGTAGTAGTAGAAGCAGTAGTAGTCGTAGAAGTAGCAGTATTAGTAACATCAGTAGTAGTAGTAGCAGTAGTAGTCGTAGAAATAGCAGTATATAGTAACAGCAGTAGAAGTAGTAGAAAGCAGTAGTAGTCGTAGAAGTAGCATTATTAGTAACATCAGTAGAAGTAGAAGCAGTAGTAGTCGTAGAAGTAGCAGTATTAGTAACAGCAGTAGTAGTAGAAGCAGTAGTAGTCGTAGAAGTAGCATTAATTAGTAACAGCAGTAGTAGTAGTAGAAGCAGGTAGTAGTCGTAGAAGTAGCAGATTAGTAACATCAGTAGTAGTAGAAGCAGTAGTAGTCGTAGAAGTAGCATTATTAGTAAACATCAGTAGTAGTAGTAACAGTAGTAGTCGTAGAAGTAGCAGTATTAGTAACATCAGTAGTAGTAGTAGCAGTAGTAGTCGTAGAAGTAGCAGTATTAGTAACATCAGGAGTAGTAGCAGCAGTAGTAGTAGCAGCGCTAATAGCAGTACTAGCAGCAGTAGTAGTAGCAGCAGTAGTAGCGGCAGGAGTAGTAGTAGCAGCAGCAGTAGTATCAGCAGCAGTAGTAGTAGCACTAATAGCAGTAGTATCAGCAGTAGTAGTAGTAACGAAGTAGTAGCAGCAGCAGTAGTAGCAGCAGCAGCAGTAGTAGTGACAGCAGTAGTATCAGCAGTAGCAGCAGTGGTAGTATCAGCAGCAGTAGTAGTAGCAGTAGTAGCAGTAGTAGTAGCAGTAGTCGCAGCAGTAAGCAGCAGTAAAGTAGTATGCAGCAGTAGCAGCAGCCGTAGAAATCAGTAGTAGCAGCAGTAGTAGCAGCAGTAGTAGTAGTAGTAGCACTAATAGCAGAAGTAGTAGTAGTAGCAGCAGGAGTAGTAGCAGCAGTAGTAGTAGTAGCACTAATATCAGTAAGTAGTAGCAGTAGTAGCAGCAGCCGTAGTATCAGTCATAGCAGCAGTATTAGTGACAGCAGTACTATCAGCAGTAGCAGCAGTGGTAGTACCAGCAGCAGTAGTAGTAGCAGCAGTAGCAGCAGTAGCAGCAGCAGTAGTAGCGTAGTAGTAGCAGTAGTAGCAGCAGTAATAACAGCAGGAGTAGTAGTAGCAGCAGTAGTAGTGACAGCAGTAGTATCAGCAGTAAGCAGCAGTGGTAGTAGCAGCAGTAGTAGCAGTAGTAGTAGCAGTATGTATTATCAGTAGTAGCAGCAGTAGCAGCAGTAGTAGTAGCAGTAGTATTATCAGTAGTAGCAGCAGTAGTCGCAGCAGGAGTAGTAGTAGCATCAGTAGTAGCAGCGCTAATAGCAGTACTAGCAGCAGTAGTAGTAGCAGTAGTAGTAGTAGCAGCAGTAGCAGCAGTAGTAGTAGCAGCAGTAGCAGCAGCAGTAGTTAGCAATGAAGAGTGACACGGAGGCGACAGACCGCCCGGTGAGCGAGCGACGTGCCGTCCCGTGCCGTGGTGGTGATGTCGTCGTGCAGGAGAAGAAAGCGCCCGGCGCCTGGGGAGACTTCTTCCCAGACAAGCGGAGGTGCCGGCTCCGACTCGGGGCCCACATGGCCGAGTGGAAGAAATCGTCATCGTCATCATCATCCGACGACGATGACGAGATTGACACGCAACTCTCGGCCACCGCCAGCACGATCAACGTCATCGGCATCATCAGCGTCATCGCCTCTCACTGGACCACGGGCGAGGTTCCGCCGGTGCTGGAAAGGCCGCAGATGCTAAGGTGAGGGGGGGTACCGTTTAAGAGAGGGGGAAACACTCTATCCCATGCACACGGAACACTTGGAGGCTGTGCCGCGTTCTCCTGACACAGCCAGGCCACGGCTCCTCCCCAACGCCCCACGGGAAGGGAGTTTCACAACAACATCTGTGTGGTGCGGTGATCCGCTAACCCCTCGCTGCTGCTGCTGCCTCAACCGCAGCGCTGGGTCAATACAGGCAGCAGCAGCAGCAGCAACAGCGGCAGCAACAGCATAGCCACTGCCACCGCCACCATCACCACCATCACCATCACCACCATCACTACCATCACTACCACCACTAACATTACTACCATCACTACCATCACTACCACCACTAACATTACTACCATCACTACCATCATCATCACCATCACTAACATCACTACCATCACTACCACCACTACCGCCATCACTACCATCACTACCATCACTACCACCATCACTAACATTACTACCACTACCACCATCACTACACCATCACTACCATCACTATCATCACTACCACCACCATCATCACTACCATCACTACCACCACCATCATCACTACCATCACTACCATCACTACCACTATCGCCATCACTACCATCACCATCACTGCCATCACTACCACCATCATCACCATCACTACCATCACCACCATCACTACAATCACTACCATCACTACCATCATTACCACCATCACTACCATCACTACCATCACTACCACCATCACTACCATCACTACCATCACTACCACCATCACTACCATCACTACCATCACTACCACCATCACTACCATCACTACCATCATTACCACCATCACTACCATCACTACCATCACTACCACCATCCCTACCATCACTACCATCACTACCACCATCACTAACATTACTACCACTACCACCATCACTACACCATCACTACCATCACTATCATCACTACCACCACCATCACCACCACCACCACCACCATCACCACCACCACCATCACCACCACCACCATCACCACCGCCATCACCGCCATCACCACCACCACCATCACCACCATCACCACCACCATCACCATCACCACCATCACCGCCATGACCACCACCACCATCACCACCATCACCATCACCACCATCACCACCATCACCATCACCACCATCACCACCACCACCATCACCGCCACCACCCCACCACCACCATCACCACCACCATCACCACCATCACCACCATCACCACCACCACCATCACCACCATCACCACCACCACCACCATCACCACCACCCATCACCACCACCTCCATCACCACCGCCATCACCGCCATCACCACCACCTCCATCACCACCATCACCATCACCACCATCACCGCCATGACCATCACCGCCATGACCATCACCACCATCACCACCACCACCATCACCACCATCACCATCACCACCATCACCACCACCACCATCACCACCACCACCACCATCACCGCCATGACCATCACCACCATCACCACCATCACCACCACCACCACCATCACCACCATCACCGCCATGACCACCACCACCATCACCACCATCACCATCACCACCATCACCACCATCACCACCATCACCATCACCACCATCACCACCACCACCATCACTGCCACCACCCCCACCACCACCATCACCACCACCATCACCACCATCACCACCATCACCACCACCATCACCACACCACCATCACCACCATCACCACCACCACCACCATCACCACCACCACCATCACCACCACCACCACCAACACCACCGCCATCACCGCCATCACCACCACCACCATCACCACCACCACACCATCACCACCATCACCACCATCACCGCCATGACCATCACCGCCATGACCATCACCACCATCACCACCATCACCACCATCACCATCACCACATCATCACCACCACCACCACCATCACCGCCATGACCATCACCGCCATGACCATCACCACCATCACCATCACCACCATCACCACCATCACCATCACCACCATCACCACCACCACCATCATCACCACCACCACCACCATCACCGCCATGACCATCACCGCCATGACCATCACCACCATCACCATCACCACCATCACCACCATCACCACCATCACCACACCACCATCATCACCACCACCACCACCATCACCGCCATGACCATCACCGCCATGACCATCACCACCATCACCATCACCCCATCACCACCATCACCATCACCACCATCACCACCATCACCACCATCACCATCACCACCATCACCACCATCACCATCATCACCACCATCACCACCACCACCACCATCATCACCACCACCACCATCACCACCACCATCACCACCATCACCACCACCACCACCACCATCACCACCACCATCACACCACCATAACCACCATCACCACCACACCATCATCACCACCACCACCATCACCACCACCACCATCACCACCATCACCATCACCACCATCACCACCATCACCACCACCATCACCATCACCACCATCACCACC